ATGTATGTTTCACACCACATGCATACATGTATAAATCATATATGTCATGCCATCTTTTTCACATATATGCATGCATAATATATCATGTTCACATATATAGTTCACGCATTTCGACTTAGATATGCATATTTCACGTAATCCACATAATAAACATGTAAAAATTACCTCAACCTAGGTTGTCTCAAACCTGGTTATAACATTAATGGTTGATTTTTTGAAGACTGAAATTGATTTGGTTTGTGAAGGTGAATATTTTCATGTTAGATGTTGCACACACATTATGAACCTAATTGTACATGATGAATTCAAAGAAATTGATGCTATTATAAAGGTTAGAAATACTATGAAGTACTATAAAGGTTCACAATCTAGGAGGCAAAGGTTTTTAAGTAGTGTTGCACATGTAGAGCTACCATCTTCAAGGGGTTCAAAACAAGATGTTCCCACTCCATGGAACTTGACTTACATTATGTCGGATTCAGTTTTGTACTATAAAGAAGCTTTTATTCATTTGGCGAAAACTGATGCTAATTATTTGCATTGTCCAACAAGTGATGAGTGGGGAAGAATTGAAAGGACTTTCAAGTTCTTGAAGGTTTTCTATGAGGTAATTTGTGCATTTTCTGGCTCTAAATATACTACTACCAATCTTTATTTTGCTAATGTTTTGACGGTTAGAGTGTTGTTACACAAAGAAAAAAATAGTGATGATACTTTCATGAAAAACATGGCTAGTCGGATGTATGAGAAGTTTGAGAAATATTGGGCTAATTTTAGCACAGTTATGGCATTTGCGGCTGTTTTGGATCCTCGTTATAAATTCCAGATTGTTGAATGGGGTTATGAGAAAGTTTATGGGCATGAGTACAAATCTGAGTTAGCAATAATAAAAAAGAAATTGTTTTCATTATTTAATGAGTATGTGGATGAGTCACATTTGAATAAAACCAAAGTTGGTCAACATAAGAGTGGATCGTTGGACTCTCAAGAAGGATCTCAAGATGTGCTAGATGTGGCTTCTGCTTCACTTAAGATGGTATATACATTTACAATTTTTTTTCTTTTATACTTTATTTATGCTATTTATCTAATATCTTTTTGTTATTTAACAGGACTTCGATACCTTTTCAAATAAGGTGACTTCTCAAGCCATAAAATCTGAACTTGAATGTTATTTAGAGGAGAAGCTCATGCCTCGTGTGAACAATCTAAACATTTTGGACTATTGGAGAACTCATGAAGTTAGCTATCCAACTCTTGCTCGAATAGCTAGGGACATCTTAGTTATCCCTATCTCAACAGTGGCATCTGAATCTGCTTTTAGCATTGGCAGTAGGGTCCTTGATGCTTATAGAAGTTCATTGAAGTCTTTTACAGTTGAGGCTATTATTTATCTAAGAGATTGGGTATATGGAGAAGGTTTGTGCTAATTTATTATTTGTATATTTCCTCTTATTGTATAAAACCATGTATTTGCTATAAGGCTATAACTAAGTTAATAATTTAATTTATTTACGTAGTACAAATGGAAGCGCATCTTGAGGCGCTATGTGGAGCAATCATGACAGAGAAGATAGAAGATCAAGAAGAAAGTAATACCGAGAGTGAAATTGGGGTTGATGAAAGTGGAAGTCGA